TCAGGAGGATGCAGCCCATGAATTTGGACACGACCATAGACTCCTCCGAATGCGGCCGACAAATGCGTCCTCCTTTTCCCCGAATTTGAAGGATGGGTCGGGTGTGTCCTTCGTGGCCCACCATATCCCAGCCAAACTCCAGTTTCCAGCAATGGCGGCCGCTACTAAGTTTTAAAATTACTCTTACTAATCTTTCTGGGTCACAAAATAAACTTTTAACATATTTTCAGGCGAGAAAGTAGCTGTGTAAACATCAAATATCTGCTCGTTTTATCAAGATATCGCATATTTGCCAAAGTGCTTCGATGTTTTCGGAGCATCTGCTACCCACCAGCTCGATAGCTAGCCGGGAGCTCGAGGGTTACTGATGCAGCCGAGAACGGCACAACTCCCGGCACATCATTTTCAGATCACCGCGGACTTTCGCTACTCGGGTTAAATGTAATATATAATTCACTTAGACAACCTAAAAATGTTATTGTTGGGCTTTTTTCAGTGTTTTGTTTGTTCGTGAGTAAATTGGTTTGGCTGAGATTAAAGTTATTAGATTAGATTAGATAAAATAAAACTTTATTAATCACCCGGGTGGGTTCCTCCTTGGTTTTCACACAGCTGACTAAACGTCAAACAGAAAACTGATTAAACAGAAGTATGAGACAGTCGAAAATTTACGCCAGTGTCCTGTTATATTTTAGATAGCAAGGAGCAGACGGCTGAGTTTATTAAACTCCACCGAGACAGCGGTGACGCAAATCTGAAGGCTAGACCGTCCAATTTCCCCAGCAGTTTACTTCCGGCCTACCCGACCTTCTGAGGACCCGGCCCACGTAGACCGCGAAGGCCGGGTCCTCAGGAGGATGCAGCCCATGAATTTGGACACAACCATACATTACACAAAACATCACATGGGGAAGACAGGTCAGAGAGGTATAACAATGGAAAAATGTACCACATGAGGAAAGATAAGGAGATACAAATAACTACCCCCAGACTGAGCTCCAACAGGGAGATTTCTTTGGAGTCTTGTGTGGTGAGCGTCATTATTACCTCATTATTACACATAATTTATGGACATCTATGTTCTACTTCTTTCTGTGTGCAGATGGGATGGGTTGTAGCTGACTTTGGTGAGAATTTCATGTCAATAGCAACTTTAGAAATATATTTTCTTCAATACTTTTTTAACCTGCTGTAATTCCTAATTTCCTATCAGCAAATAAAGAAGCGAAGAGTGGATCAAGACTTTTTGTACAATAGTGCAGTTATTATTATGATTTTTGTTTGGATTTGGTCATTTTCAGCATACCATGTCTTTTGCACCTCAACCCTGTGCAGAATTTTATTCACGTCAGAGTTTTAAAGACTTCGTTTTTTGTTTTTTGCATAAGCACGAAGTGGTTCTTAAAGCTGTAGATGTGCCTTTAGATTTGTCATCTCTTTTTGTGTAATGGCGTTCCTTTTGCATGCTGTTTGTTTGTTTGTTTAGATTTCTGACAGATTTAAGGAAAGCTGCTTTATTCGCAGATTTGCAACAGACTGTAATAAACATCAATCATTCATGTCACAGCTGTTTATCACGAGATTAATGGGCTGAAAACTCTGCTGAGAGAAAAGTGCCCTCCTCTATCACTCAACCCCTCTCTATCTGTCAGGCCACGCCCACATTCTAGAACACTGGTGGTGGGCCATTGTTAGCGCTGTTGCTAGGCAACACGGAACACTGTCGTCAGGGACAACCAGCCTTTCAGTCTTTCTCTTTTTCTGATAGCAACACCATTACTGAGATGAGAAGCCCACGCGCACACATAGACACTCTTAGACACACACTCAGCTTCCATCTTGTGGCAGAGAATTTCACACAAACACAAGAAAACATATTGTTCATTTTCATGCCTGCCTGCTCTCACTCTCCCCCTTCCCCTCCAGCTCTCTCACTCTCCCTCTCACACACATCATTACAAACAATACTGTATGATGCAATCACCTGACATCCACTGCGTGTCTGTCACACACTCGCAGCTAATCTTTGAAATGCTTTATTATAATTCAGCACATGAGGAGGTCACAGAGACAGAATACATGAGGAGGAGGACACACATACAAAACAAACGCCCCCTTCCTCTCTCAAACCCCCCCTCAACACCTTCGACACCTCAGCCAACCTGAGAAAAAGGGGATGTTTGATTCCGACAATGAGGCAATGGAACATTTTCCTCCAAAAATAAATTAGGCTTACGTCAAAATAAAAGTAATCTGTATTTCCATCACGTCGGCAGGTGCAGAAACTTCAACACACTGATGGTAGTAACTGAAACCAGCCACAAACAAACTAATAGGAATCATTCAGCGGGAAACCTGAATCTTTGTACAAATTTAACACCAAATCATCAGGTAATTATCAAGACATTTTCTTTGAAGTTGAAATTCTGACCTACTAGTGGTGCAGTCTGTTATGGACGTGAACGTCCAAGTAAAACATTTAAAATATTTTACTGCCAGTTTCTATTACAAGAAGCTGTCGCCATATTTGTCAGGTACAGATTTGTCAACATGTCAGAGCAAGCAATCATGATGGCATCACACTCATATATTTATGGAATAATAGGAGGATGCATTGAGCATAAAGCTACATAGCTATATGCTGATGATGTCAGATTATTTGCAACAAATTAACACAAATATGTGCTCTTTGAAATAATTAAAAATTAATAAAGATTTTCTTTATTAAATCGGAATTTTTGGGCTTGCTGTCTGTGGAACAAAAGGATCAGGTTGTGATTACTATTTTTTGTCTTGTGTTATTTCTTCTTTCTGGTCAAAATTCAACAAATATAGTGTTAGAAAATATAGTTCAGTATTTGTGTTTCACCTAAAGACCACTTTGTCGAAGTACTGATCAGCTACACAGGACCATAGTATAAAACACGGATGTATTTTCAGGTTGGAAAAATGAAGTCAATGCCCAAGTACCTAAACACTGCAATTTATCTGAAAGCCACTAGATGGTGGTAGCTAGGGTTGCAGAAAGACTTAGGGTCCCGTTGACGTTTCTTATGTGATGTTATGCACACTTTGCTCGAGAGTTGTCTGCAGTATTGGATGTGATACAACCAATTTTGCTGTATTGGTAGCTAAGGAAATTTGTTTTTCCCAACTAGTTGGTAGTGGTTCCTCAATGTTTCTGCTGCACACTGGGTGTAATCTGTTGCAAAAAAAAAGGTCCACTACCAAAAACCTCCTGATGTTAAATTTGGTTGCTACCAAATTCCACAGTTGACTAAAATTTTTCATGTTTGTTTGCAAATACTTGCTAACTGCTAGGCTGCTAGGGTAGTAAAACTTGAAAAAGTTTGAAGCAAACCAGAAAGGGAGAATGTTTGCCTCTATAGTAAAAGTTCGGTTTCATGAAGGCAAATAGTATCCAGTTCCAGTTTGCATCCTTCTTTTCAGTTTAACTGTAGCTTGGACGGTAACTGACTACTGTTTGTAGACAAGTCTGTCACATTCATCCAAATTATGACCACTGCAATCTGCCAGTGACCAAAGCAATCACAAGGAAGTTTTTGCTAACCATAAGGTTGCCATCAGGTCACTGAACCATTTGTAGACAAGCGTGACTGGGGATTTAGAAATAATTTTCCCAGGATTTCAAAAACCACTGGATGGCATTACAGTATCTACATCCACCTTTTTATAGTGTCTGGCTGGAATCACATTTATGTATTTCAGGAGTTAATGTTCTCCTTTCTTAGTTACAAATCACTTATCTACTGAGTGGATAAGTGATAAAGTAACAAGAGTGTGTTATAATGAAAATCTTCTAAATGTTATGTGATCCAACCCAGAAAACATGTGAAATGGCTAACATTCTTGACTGTTTCCAGATACACCATATGGACAAAAGTGCTGGGCCACACTTCCTAATCAGTAAATTCAGGTTTTTTTCAGTTCCATTGCCACAGGTGTATAAAATCAAGCACTTAGCCATGCAGCGTCCCTCTACAAACATTTTAAACATTACAAAGAGTAGGCCTCTAGCATCAGCAAAATACGTCACCAGAAGCTTCATGGCATGGGTTTCCATGGTCGAGCAGCTCCTAATGTGTGGTTGGCCCAGTACTTTCATCCATATGGCATATCAAAGGTCTTCTGATGGCAGATTGCTCAACATTCGTGAAGATAATATTTCAAAATAAGACTTTAAGAAGGCTGTGGATTCTGCCGTCCAATCATTTTATAAGACAAATTATTGTTAACAGTAATAAAGGTTTTTGTGCACAAAGTCTCATAGGGCCTCATCAATGGCCTACAGACGTGTTGGAAATAACATTATTTTTTTCTGTGTGTGTGTAATGTTCTGATTTGATCTTTTAGTTCAGTTCAGTTCCTTTTAGTCCCAGAGTTATACTCAGAACCTCAGAGCTCTCCAGATGATCCAAGGGTGAGTCTCTGTGCCACAAATAAACTGCAGGTGAGTTCTTCTGTTCTGGATCCTACTGGTCACCATGTGTGGTACAATATGCCCAGATACAAGTACAGAGAAACTGGTTCTGAACTCTCTTGGAGGTCCTGGCAGGGGTCTCATAGATATGAACTTTAGAGATCTGAATATTCAGGACTGGAGGTGTAACTTGAGAGCAGATTTTCTGATCCATACTTCTCTAAAAATGCATCTTGCCATTTTAAGCTTTTAGTGAAGACAGGAATTTCAAACCTTCAACTGCCACCTTTTAATCAAATGTAAAAAAAATGCAACAAAGTGAGTTTTGTGTTCAGTCTACTGTAGTTCATATAAACCAGAAGTGTGACTGCACCCTGAGAACTTTCCATTAAATCTAGACAAATAAAATAAATTCAGACATTTCACGACTCATTTAGACAGCAGAGTACACTTGCAAATACAAAATCTAAACACCAGATTCCACAAGAGGCAGATCAGCTCCGGACCATCTAGAGAGTTAAGAAGCAGATCATGCCGTACCAACATGAACAGAGCCCAATAAGAATCAATCAAGGTGCCTTTAATGTTCTTGAGGAGGAGGTAGACAGAAGAGACAGATAACAGTGATGTGGTAGTCCTACTGTGGTGAAGTTGTAGTCCTTAATAACAGTCCTGAATCACGTCCTGCTGAGGTCAGTTTGTATCCTCTCTGTGGTGATTTTTTTTTCCCTTTGAGGTTAACGTGTCATCCGGTTTTGGTCAGACTGTAATTGTTTCTGTGGTTAAGTCCTGAATCTTCCTGGTTTGGCTACAATGGGGTTTGTGGTTTGCTAGGAGGAGGAAGAAGAGGAAGCAGGTGACAGTTTTATCACAGATTGTGAAGGCTGTACACAAACATACATAATCTGTGCCATGATCACAAACTATATACCATATATACGGCTTCTGTTCACATTATCGGACATCTCAAGACAGCAAGACTACAGCTGACCAAAATTATACTTTATGTACTAAAATCAAAAAGTGCAACTGTGAGAGAGCAGAATGTGGAAGAATTGAAGCTCAAAGGTCAGATCAGGAGTTCTACTACCATGCTAGTTGATATTATGGCAAACTGTGTGTTGTGCACCCTGAGTTCACTCTCAGGTGTCAGGCTGCCAATGCAGAGTTCTGCTCCAACATCCCGAGGCAGGGTCCTGAGGGGTTAGAGGATGACTTCCACTATGCAACCTAAGCCATGTTGGGCTGCACATGAATTTGAACACCCTGAAAGGAAGAGTAGCCAATTTAATCCGGTATAGTTATTTTTTCTATTTACTTCGAACTTTCAGACAATCAGCTTTTCACTGGTAATGTCTTGGATGTTTATGTGAACACCGCTTACATACCTTAAAGATATGTTATTCATAAAAGAAATCCAGATTAAGGAGTTTGGACCTTGACCCAGAACAAGAACAGTCTTCTATAAAAGCACGTCAGCACGATGCTTCAGTGGTAAGCCCTGTTGCATGTTCTCCCCATGTTTGAACAGCTTTTCTCTGAGAACTATGGTTTTGTCATAATTGCCATAACTGAAAACCAGGCTAGACTTATGCTCCCTGTTTAGGATAAGGACACTCTCACAAAATCCAGGAAGCCAGAAAGAGATGTTTCATCTCAATTGTTTTACTTCCTGGTAATATAAGTGTTATGGAAAAAGAAAAAAAAAAAGTTGCTACATTGCACAGTACACAAAGCGTCCTTGCAATAATGTCACTATTAACATAATACTTTTTCTCTTAGCAAAATATGTTTGTCAGCAAGATTGCTGAATTTCATGAAATCTGTTTACTGGTTTACATTTGGTACTAAAGTTTGTATAATTTCTTATATTTACTGAAGATTATTTCCAGAAAGCTCTTTCCTGTGGGTGGCCAGTCAGAGGTGAGGTAATGTTAGCTACATGATTTTCCTAGTGTCAGGGGGATTACAGTGAGAGTAATCCATTGTCATTAGTTTAACAGGACCAAACTGGCATATATTGTTATTTCAGAATGATGTTTATAAGTAACAACAGGAAATCCTATGCTACAAACTGGGCTTTTCTTCTTCTGGGAGAGACTACCTTCCTTTGGTGTGGACTTTGGGCTTTGTGACTTGATGGACCTTTACAGAAAAGCTACATAACACATTAGAGGAAATGGATAAAACGGTTACAATGTTGGCACTTAAAATGATTTCTATGTAATTAATACATGTTTATGTGAATGAGATTGTCAAGACTGTTCTGGAACTTACAAAAACACTGCTTTGATTGCCTTTTTCCTTCCTTTTTCTTCTTTTATTTTCAGACATTTTTAAATCAAGGCTACATGAGGTACACCAGGCTAAGGTAAACTTCATGTTGAGGTCCATACTGGGATCTGAAATGGATAATCTACCTTATTGATAACACCACCCGCTTTTGCCAGAGCAATCACGTGACCGGAACATCTGGCCAAAACATCTGGTCAAGCTTACAAAGAAGCCCAATTTCCCAAATCTAACATTTACTGTTGAAAGCAGGTACAGAACACTCTCTCTGCTGTTGGCTTATTGATCTTTGATGCCATGCCTCTATTTTCTGTTTTTCGGGGTCAGGTTGCATTGATAGCAAACTATGCAGGGTATTATTCTCCCAATGTCTGCAACATTTTTCAGTTACCCGTGGGAGTTCCCAGTTTTCTCTTGGCTGAAATGGGATCTACAATCTGCATGGCTCCTTCGAGCTTGGATTGTACTGGAACCTTCCAAAGGACAGTACTCAGAGGGAATCTCTAATTAGATGCTCAAACCACCACAGCTGGCTGCTTTTGATGCAAAAGAGCAGCATCCGAGATCCTTACCTTACCTATAAGGCTGAGACCCAATGAAAGAAAGTCTAAAAATCAGTCCATAAAAAGTGGATTAGATCTTGACACAAAGAACTGCTAAAAGTAGAGGTACAGGGCAATACTCTTGCATTTTCACCAGTAGATGTCAGATTTCATATACCCTCAAAGATGTCGTTTTGATACAATTTCATGTAATTTTAAGAACAGCCTAGCTACAGACATAGACATAGTGGCAGCTTTGTTCCAGCACTAGTCTTTGAATTGATTGCAACTCTATGAGTAAGCCATAAGAGAACCGTTAATGTTTCGATATTCATCCAGTCAAGCTTGCAATGGAACAACCTGAGCTTTTCGAAATTTTTATGTAATAGATTAGAGCTACAGAATTTATAGATTATTTTTATGTGGCTACTTAGCGGCCTATCCTTTCAATAGTCAAGGCCTGAACTGTTTGTTAAGAAAAGCAAACAGGAGGAGTGATAGACAATTTAGAGGTCTGGAACAAGTTTGTTTAGCCAGTACAAATACAGACTAGTATCTGTTCTAGCCAGTTTGCTTGCTACGGTCTGGACATTCTGTGTGCGCCTTTTTAAGAATTGATTTATAAATTTACCTTTACACAATCTTGGGAAAAACATGCAATTATGGCATCACCACATCAATTGGCCAAGTCCAGTTGCCTGTGACCAAACTGCCCCCTCTTCCTCTCCTTCTGTCTAGCTACTCCCTGTTCCAGCTGAGGTGGGAATAGTCTCAGTCTGGGAACTGTCATCCATACAGTATGAAATTGTAATCCTGTCGCAGAGAATCAATTTCAGTTCCAGAGGTTGTAGTCCTTTTGCTGATTTTGCAGTCCGTGTGATGGTGACTTCCTGCTAGGCCTCCAGATTTTGGTTCTGTTGGTGGAGGGAAGGCTAGAAGAACCAACGAAATGCCTCACTGGCTGGGACAGAGGGAGGCCGCTAAGAATAGGAGACAAAATGTGGCGTGAGACATAGGAAAACTGACAGTAAAATCGAAATGACAAAATAAATACACACCTAAATGTCTGTTTCTACTATTTCTTTCCTGAATCTTAGTCTTTTACCTTTGACTTTTTTTCAGTTAAATTGTAAATATTGGATCACATCAGCATCAACGCTGGCTCGCAGTTTCTGCTGTGTTTCTTGAACCGTTTGTGTGGGTAAACACATCCGCAGTGATGCAGGCTGTAGATCAAAGTCGGTCTGGTGCGACTATACTCTCCTTCCTCTGAAAAGCTGCCAGCAGAACTTCATAGAGTCAATATAGATTTCCTGTCTTGTCACCTTGTGATAAAGTTTAATTTCATTATAATTTGGGGTTTGGGATATAAATTAACTTCGAAAAACAGCAAATCTCTTTGACTGTGTGGATACACAAACTATCACTGGTTTAGTTTAATACTGAGATAATCTTAAAAAAAAGAGGGTTTGTTGAAAGAAGAGCCACCAGTCACAAAGTAAAGTATTCATCTGTAAAGGGAAAGCATGTAAAAACAAGTTCTTTAATATAAATTAAAAGGTGACCCCAATAATGAAACAGTCCCCAGTATTTTTGGGGGTGTGGCCTCTTTGAGAGATGGTTGGCGACACAGGTTCAGCTCCGCTACATTTGGACTGTTTGATCTCTTTGAGCCTTTTGGAGGATATTATTGCAATTATCTGATGATTAATATAGTCGTAATAGACTAATATATTTCAATGCAACTTTTCCTGTTGCTTTCGATCTTTTAATAAGATAGTAAGATAATAAGTTTCTTTTATGGTCCATGAAATAGTCTTTATACACCCCTGTACAGCTGCAATTCTGTATGGTCAGTGGTCTGTGGTTTTCAGTAGCGATACATTGTAGATTGACAGAGCCATATGTGACAATTTCGCTATTTTTAACCAACTATGACACATGTACTCTTCTTCAGTGTGAAACTGAAAAATATGTTTAAGAAAAAAACCTGAAAGACAAAAATGTTACTTCTCAGAATATACTACCACTTCATTTCCTTTATGGTGGTTTCCATCATATTCAACAAAATATGAGCTCAGTATTAAACTGGCTAAGTTTCATGTGACTATAATAAAATGCTTTCCCTTCATATGCTCTGGGTAAAAGAAGGCGTAGAAAAGTGCAGAACCAGTCAAAATGTGGGAGGTTTTTGTAAGATGTTTAAGATGTTGTGCAGTCTCACTTGAAGCATAATTTTTCAATCTGCATAATTGTTACATTGCTGGGGGGTTTTTTGTTTGTTTTTTCTTTTTTAATCTTCGATGGGGTTTTTTCACAGTTCTCCCATTCCTGGTGAACTCCTGTTGCTCCTGTCCTATTCTGACCTACTTGTCAACCAATTAGCATTTGGCAGATGCAAATGTCATATGGTAGCAATCTGTAGTTAGGATTTTGGAGGCCAGGATGGGAGCACGTCTGCGGTTGAAAACCCTTCTCTGCTCACTCCGTGAATAGAAAAATGTTTGAAGTGAAACCGAGTGTAAAAAACAATGAAAAGTTTCCACCGCTGCCATGATCTCTCTTTGTATTTTATAACTTCACTCTTCTCTTTGGCTGGCTAACGGACCAACAACAAAACAAGCAAGAATGGCCCACAGACCAGTTGTACCACTTATTTGTACACTGGCGCCACTGCAGGTAGAAGGGCCATCCTTAGACTCGAACCATAAATTCTGCGTAATGAGGGACATGTGGTCACCCTACCTGCTAAGAGTTGACCATCGAAGAAGTCTGTGCTTCAGTTTTGGTCAGTGACACTCACTAATTAGCACAGTTAACTGATAACTCAATTACATCCTCTCATCCAAATATGGTCGCTTCTAGCTCCACAACCGCCAACATGACGATGGACATGAAGTTGAAATTAAGGCTTCAAAACTGGACTTCTTAAAAGTGACGACGCCTACATATGCGGGGTATGATATCCTTGCATATGTTGCATCGAGTGCACTGAAATCAGCTGTGACTGGTTTTGAAATCACTTTGAAGTTAGTGGCCAGTTTGCTCTGGGCTCTGACAGGTTATCCTGCTGCAGAGAAAGGTGGAGAAAACTACCCAGGGTGCTTTGCTGTTCATCTCACAGAGTAAACTTGGTGCCAGGCTGAGAGTTTGTCAGGTCGACATCAAAGAGAGCGGAAAGAATGAGGCAAGAGTGTGAAACCACCTGCTGACACACACACAGAGAGGGAGAGAGAGAGTTGCCCTCACAAACATTCACATACTTTGTAACACACACACACACGCCGCTGTCACTTGCCGTTAGCCTCCACAGGTCCAATTAGCGTGTAATTGAGGAAGATTATGGCTGCTAATTCACTCTCTTCCCATCACACACACACACAGTGTTTCAGCGCGTGTCCTCACAGCACATGTGTGCAGATGAGGGAATAATTAGTGATAGTTTGTAGCGATTCCCACAGGAAGTGCGTGTGCGTGTGTGTGTGTGAGAGAGAGAAAGGGAGAGAGATATATAGAGTCATCAGTGAGGTCGAATGCTGGTGTCAAAGAATTATTGATCGCCACTAATTCTTATTGCGCTCACACACTCTTATACACACGCACGCACACAGCAGTGGTAGATCACATAAATATTCGCTGTTCCCTCCCTCTCGCCCGGCCGCTTTATCACCGTGAATCAGTGTTGGTGTGTGTGTGTGTGTGTGTGTGTGTGTGTGTGTGTGTGTGTCTGCTGGCGGCTTGCCAGACCTCAGCAGGGACCGAGCTCTCGCATTTCACCACCCACCATCTGCACAGCACTCACACACACACACTCAGCAGGGTGAGCGATGCCTTCCAGCTCGAGCATCACTGCCAGTGATCTGGGTTAAGTGAGCCAGGACACACACCGAGACACACACGCACACCGAGATGCACACACACACACAGACAGAGATGCGCACACACACAGAAGAAAGAGAAGATGAGACATACATTTGCTAACGTCCAGCCAATGCTGTGCGTGTGCACGTGTGTATGCGTGCGTGTGCGTGCATGAACTCACCTCCAGCACCCCCCCTCCTCCCCCCGGCTTCTTCTTCAGCTCCTCGCACTTCCTGAACTTGCAGATCTGGTGACCCGTCTTCCTGTTGCGGCACGATGAGCAGACGCCACAGTTGATGAGCCGCCTGCACGGCCCGCACACGCCACATCGTTTCCTCTTTCTTTTAGCCACCGTCCCGGATGACGAAGATGATGATGACGACAGAGAAACGGCCGCCGCTGTCACGCCTGATGATGGGGGCGAGGAGGAGGAGGGGCAGGGGGAGGAGTTGGCATGCTGCTGGCAGTCTGTTAGCGCCCGCTGGCCGCCTGTCATCTGAAAGGCGCTGCTAGCGTCTGAGATCCCGCCCCCTGCTGACCCCATCGCCATAACAATGACCCCGGGAGGTAGTCCCAGCCCCCCCAGGAAGCTGCCACCCATAACCCCTCCTCCGTTGCAGCTGCCACCCTCTGATAGGCCTATCATGTCCGCGTGGGTGTGTCCCTGCTTGTTCATGACGCCACAGTCTGTTCCGCCACTGTATCCAGGAAGGAAGTTCCCGTTGCTTGATGCCATGGCGTGATGGTGTGCCGTTCCCTGTGAAACAGGAAGTGAGGCAGTGTGTCCGTGTTTCTCAGCCCCTCCACCGTCACTGCTCCCACCACCTCCTCCCCCTCCCGACCCACTGCTGCTGCTCTGGTGCATGCTGGTACTATGGGGGTGCGAGGAGGTCATGTGACCCGGCGTCGCAGAGGGGTGATGATGGTGGTGGGGGTGGTGCGTCGGCGTGGCCGCCACGGGTTTAGGTCGGCCCCAGAACATTGCCGCCGGGTGGTTCATGTTCATGTTCATGTTGTCGTGGCAACCCCAGGGCGTCGTCGCCATAGCCCCAAGTCTGGCAGCGGTGGGAGGGAAGATGGGGGCGGCCGCGGCCAAGCGGGCGGCCAGTTTGGCTGACTGAGGGAAGTTTGTAACGTTCATGTTCATATTGACGTTGGTCTTGTAGAAACTGGCGATGGAGGAGCGGTACCGATCCATCTCTGTAGTGTAGTCCAGCATGGGAGCCAGGCCCGACACCTGCAGGACATAGCACCAATCACTGTTATCAATACCAGCCATAATCAATTTAAAAAAGCACACGGATAAAGTGGCTTTACAGGGAGGTTGGTGGGCAGAGCTGTCTTCATGGAGCAAAATAAAAAGGACAGAGCGGTTCACCTGTTAATGGAGCCTCAAATATCAGCAAACACCAAGGCGACAGAGTTGATACTATGCCTAATGACGACTGCTAAAAGCTGGCTACACACCAACAAGTCCACCTTTGAATTGCCCAACAAAACCAAAATGAAGGTGTTGGAGTGGCCTAGCCAAAGTCCAGATTGAGCTGCTGTGGCATGACCTTAAACAGGCTGCTCATGCTTGAAAACATTCCAGTGTGGCTGAATTAAAACAATGCTGCAGAGTAAAAGTGTGCCAAAATTCCTCCACCATGACACGAAAGACTCATTGGCATTGCAGTCGTTGCTGCCAAGGGTGGAACAACCAGGTACTGTTTAGAGCAGGGGTCCCCAATCCCAGTCCACGAGAGCCGGTGTCCCTGCAGGTTTTAGATATGTCCTTGTTCCATCACAGCTGATTTATTAAATGGATAAATTACCTTCTCAACATGTCTTGAAGTTCTCCAGAGGCCTGGTAATGAACTAATCGTGTGATTCAGGTGCGTTGACCCAGGGTGTTATCTAAAACCTGCAGGGATACCAGCCCTCGCGGACTGGGATTGGGGACCCCTGGTTTAGAGAACAATTACTTTTCACAAAGGACCTAGTGGGTTTGGATAGCTTTTTTCCTTAATAAATGAAACCATCATTTAAAAACTGTGTTTTGTATTTACTCAGGCTATCTTTGTCTAATATTGACATTAAATCTAAACGATTTACCGAATTTCCCAGAGGGATTAATAAAGTTTTATCTAATCGAATCTAAAAAAAAATCCAAGACATATATGCAAATCGCTACAAAATCTGGAAGGGAGCAAATACTGTTGCACAGATCTGTTCCACGTTTTCCTTCCTTCACAGCTCACAAAGAAATATCCGCTGTATTCACCAGTGCAGTTTTATTCATCTCTATTATTTGCCTACAAACATTCGTTCATGAGAGCCAATCTAAGAACTACTTTATTCCAAAGTACAACTCTTAATGAACAGTACCACATTCTGTCTTTGTAGTAAATCCATTTTTGCCTAGACTTCGTCTGTCGTCTCACTGCAGGAAACATTTATTTTGCAGTTGGTCTGACCACACCGTCGCTGTATTCTCCGGAGCAGAGTGACAAGAAGGAAACTGAAAAGTAAAAGTTCTGTAAATGTGAGCATTAATTAAGCTGGCAGTCCCCCCCCAGCTGTGAAAATGTGGGGGTCATTTTCACAGCTAATGGATCAATCCTTAAAAGGCTTGTTTCGTTCTTTGAAAGTAACGCAGTGGATTGGACTAATGAGAAAGCGTATTGACCGAACAATCGACCAGCTGACCCTGAGATCGGCGCCCTCGCAGCAGAGCAGCGGTGGGTTCTGTAATTGATGCCTACCTGGATGATCTAATTGAGTTTTTGGCAATGACCCGAGGCCAGTTTCAACAGGAACCTTCTAAATTTAATTTGATTTAACCTTCGCTTCACCCGCTGATTCTGCAGCCCTGCACTGGGAGACCAACATGGATGCAAAAGTTTACACGTCAACTCACCTGTCCCTGTCCACCGTAGCCATGGTGATTTGGGTGATGGTGCGAGGGGGCTGAGCTTCTCTGGAGCATCGAGGAGAGGTCACTGTCCACACACACGCCACTCGTCATGCCCGACATGACCTCACGCACACATATACATACAAGCGCACACACACACTCACTCACACACACTCAGGTGGGCTTTGTTGCACAGGAAGCTAGTTAGTTCTGCGTGGTCGCCACGTTTTGCTCTGAAAGTAAAAAGAAAAGTCAGGTGAAGGTGCTGCATTCAATAAAGAAAACCCTCACTCTCGTGGATCATCTTTTTCAGGCTCAGCAACAAGATTTTCTGTGGTTTTAGTCCCACAAATGCACAACTCTGTTGCTTGTGAAGCTCGCACACAAGAATTTCACTCACATGTACTGTACCAATGTACCTGCACATGTGATGTGACAATAAAAGTGATTTGATTTAATTTGATTTGACAAATGATCTACAGAGAGTATTTTAATGTAGCTGATTGATTGGTCAGTTAAGTCGGCAGGCCATTACCCTCAGTTATTCACATCTAATCTGAAAGTAAACCCAGAAAGTAAAGCCGTCAGAGGACATGAAAGACCGACTATCCTGTGACAGTAAGCGAGGGGAAATCCCTTAAGCCTGCATTCCCTCTGAGGTTCGGCAGGGGGCGACTGCTCATAGCTGCAAAATGAAGTCTAACTGTGTAGAAGTCTGATTCTAACTCGATGTCTGACTTCGGCTAATGCTTTCCTAATGAATTTTAAAAATTATAGGAAATTTAGTCGAGAATAAGCTCTCCTCAAAATCATCACATCAACAGCTCACTTGGTTTCAAAAACCATGATGGCAGCGCACAAAACGCTCCAACAAACTACCTGGTGACATCACGGTGGCTACGTCTTGTCTTTTATATGGAGATGGCGATGACACAAGGCTGCAAACAAAAGAGGAAACAAAGAACAAGCTGCCATCTTCTTCGTCTTCCTTTGTGGAATTCCCTTTTCCTCAGGTGATGACGTGCCCTTGAGCAAGCAAGCGCCGAATCCCCACCAGGGACACCGCAACATCCGACATCGAGTGAACTGAGGCCTCTATTTGTAGCTCGTCAGCGTCGGTTTCAAGGCCAGGTTGTGACCCCAGTGCTTCCACGGAGGGCACTCAATAGGCAAAAAAGTTCACGTAAGGCAGATCTCAGGTCCAAGCAGAGGCCTCGAAATATCAGAAAGAGTGGAATAATCTGATTATAAGTGACCTCTGACCTCTCGGTGTGCACACGCACAAACTCACACACAAATGGTTAAGTCCAACTGTAAAGGAGTCATTGTCGTTTGTGAGCGTGTGCAGAATAAATGGGCTGCAAATGTGTGAGCTTGAAAATGTGTTTGCATGGAGAAAGAAAGAGACTGAAATTGTGTCCCTGTGTGTGTGTGTGTGTGTGTGTGTGTGTGTGTGCATGTCTATGTGAAAAGAATTGAATGTGTGCAGCCTCAAATGTGTGTGTGCGTCCGTGCGCTCTGCTCTGCGTGCGCAGCCAGTGTGTACGTCAAGCCTGTGTGTGTCTGCGTGTGTGTGTCTCTCGCAACATCCCACACCCCCCCTTCCTCACCACCACCACTCTCCCACTCCCCCGAGGCGTAACTAATTACCCTGTCTGGTCAACCGGGCTGGCGCGAGCTCCGACAGAAGGTCATGGTGGCCACCGGCCGCGAGGGGGGAAAACGGCTCTCCCACGCGACACATTAACACCTCCCCTCCTTCCTCCCCCCCCCCCCCCCTCCCCCGGCACAGCACGAGAAAGGAAAAGGAAGGAGGGAAGAAGGAGGAGAGGGAGGGGGGAGGGTGAGTGTTGGGGGGGAGGGGGGGTCAATCAAAAAAAAAAAAATAGCCAGACTCGATAACGAGCGGTAAATACCGTGAACACAGCATGCAGTCCGACAGAGAGAGGAGGAGTAAACGAGAAGATGGACGGCGCTTGCTGCTGCTGCTACTTACCGGGCCCGCGAGGAGGAGGAGGTGGTGGAGGAAGAGGGTGATGAGAAGAAGAGGAGGAAGGAGGAGAAGAGGAAGAAGACCGTCTGGGAATTAGCCCGCCACGGATCATGGCTGGCGGGAAGGAGACAGAGAGAGAGAGGAAAGGAGAGGAGAGGAGGGGTAGGGGGGAGAAAGGAGCACCGGGAGGGATTTGTCGGTCTGTTGGTACCGAGGAGAGGAGGAGGAGGAATGGAGGAGGAGGAGGAGGGGGGTAACGGATAACGGGGGGCGGATGGATAATCACCTGGGCTTGGCACAAGCCAGTGCGAGGCAGGGAGAGAGACACACACAGAGAGAGAGAGAGAGAGGCGTTAAATTAGCCCGGGTGAGGCGAGGAGGAAGCAGCTCTGTGGAGACCCTGCAGGGGTGGGAAAAAGAGACGAGCTCGAGGAAAGGAAAAAAAACGGCACCATGGGAAGAAAGGAGAAGGACGGGGGAGAGGGAGGGGGTAGGGGGTGATGAATAATGGCGGAGGTTATGAACGGATACGTGCGTCGCTCTTGCGACAGAGTGAAGGGAGCGAGGGAGGGTGGTGGCAGGGGGTACACACAACGCTGATGTTCAGTAACAGGGAGGGGAGGTGTGTGTGTGTGGTGGCTTGTGCCCTCCGCCGTGTCTCCTGTTGTCAGCGGCGCCCGTGGCGACGTGCCGTGGCGTGTGCGCAGTGTGAACGGTCTGATTGGCACTGAGGCGAGGTGAGGCGAAAACAGGAGGCGCGAGACCCTGCAGATGATTGGCTGCCTGCCGGTAACAGAGAGAGATGGAGAGACCTTAGAAACCACACGGAGAGAGAGAGCTGAGCGAGGAAACACTGAATGAATTTACTCGATATTTTTGTGACAGTGTGGATGATTTTAACTGAGTCCTGTGACTTTGTTGGATTGCTGTTGTATTATTAGTGCGATTGTTTACTACATTTTTGTTAATGTGGACTTGTTGGACCCAGACGTGCCCACATTTAAAGAGGTCGGAGGGTAAAGTTATCAGAATGTTGTGGTCGTTACTCAAAAAGTTTAAAGCGTTAAACATTACTTGTTACTTTCCTTAAAAGCAATGCGGTGTGTTGCTTATTTACTCTCCAGAGAAACTAATTTGGTTACTTTTGCTTAACTCTGTAACATGAACTTAAACACACTGTCACATAACGTGATAACAATATAAACCTGAGGCTACAGTTCCACGCACCGCCACAAACCCCTATCCTCATCATATATGCTAATGAGAATACACATATGATTTTTCTTACAGTACAAACACAAAAACAACAACAACAAACTTTGAAGTGATTGCTGGTGCGTATAAAGCACCTTTCCGCTTAGTCTGGGGAGTTATTTCACCCGCACCTTGTCTAACAATTATACACACCCACAAACACACACACACAAGCTCATCAGGTACGGTATCTTGCCCAAAAATATTTTTTTACATAAAGAGTAGAGCAGCCAAGGACAGTAGACAACCTGCTCTTCCTCTCCGCTACAGCAGCAAAGCAGCTTTGCATTGACTCAGAATCGAACCCAGATCAACTGCTCTAACTACGGCTGCAACGATTCATCGAGTAATTCCAGTAATTTGATTATAAAACTCTTGACACAGACAGTGCATCATTTAACACATGACTCTGCAGTATGCCGATGTGTTAAATCAGCAGTCCCCAACCTTTTTTGTGCCACAAACCGGTTTGTGTCCGATGATACTTTCACGGACCGGCCTTTAAGGTGTCGCAAACAAATACAACAAAATAAAACCAGTACCGGTACCCAAAAAAAGATTTCTTCATAACACACAGGAAAAAACCCGGGGAAACCGAGTCAATGATAAAAATGATTTAAAAAAATAACGATAAAAAACAATAAAAACCCTGAAAACAGTACATTTCACACCCAAGCCTCAACTGTCACGGCCCGGTACCAAACGCCTCACGGACTGGTGGATTGGGGACCGCTGTGTTAAATGATGAAAAGACAAACATTTCATTCTTGTAACTAAAAACAGCTCTGCAGTAGGAACGTATTTAGGAGCAGTGTTTGAATAAAAAGTCTGAAAACATTAAGCCCACACAGCCCCCAGTTTTAAACAAAAACACAGATAACATAGCAGCAGTGATGATGACGCTGCCACAGTTTTTTTTAATGAGATGGTAAGCTCAAACTGAGTAAAAGAAAGAGTGTTTCTAGTCTTTAAAACAGAGGCCCTGTTCCTGTAATTACCATTAAAACCTTAACTGGGAAAAAGCTAGCAGGAGTCCTTCATCAAACCACCTGATCAATAAACTCCGACATGAAGAAAAGGAAAAGGAAACTGGCATTTCCCTCCACCACTGTTTGTTTTACACAGCAATAAGTCTGCAGTAAGCCTCCAGAAGGTGTATTCAAATTTTATATGGAAGCGATACCTCCAGCAAATAGTGGTGACTCTAAAGGGGGGCATGGGGTGTACTAGTCCAGATTTATTTCAAGGCGTTCGTACCATTTTTTAGATTGAAAGTGGAGTAATATAAAATATTTTATCAATTAAACTGGATTCGCGTTTAAAAATATAAAAATAAAAGCTTTTTTCACAGGCCAATAAAAATGTACATGGGCAACTCTGAGCCACTGACATGAGGGTTGTTGTTCGGTTGGACGCTATTAGTTAACGTCTATATCATCATAGCATCTGTTTTCCGCAGTACAAAAAGTTGCCTCCAAGAAAACAGGCAAGAAAACAGAGTAAAGGTATGCTTTATTTTCGATTGCGTATACATCTTATTTTATTTGACTTTGCCCTTTGATCGTACTTGAGATTATTTATATATTTTTGAATTTAAGAAAATGTTTTCAGTATGAAATGTACATCCAATCAAAGAGTTTAGTTTTGTTGGTTTTTTTTATAAAAAAATCTATTGTATGCAGTTAAACTTTAAAACATTGTAATTTCTAAAATGCAAACTAATATGCAGTTCATTCTGAAAGACCTGTGGGTTGTTTTTTTTTTCTTTCTTTGAATGGGTTTTATTGCTCATTAATAAGACAAAAGCATTTCTTATCCGATTAAAAGACGGACTAACTGATAACTAACTCGATTACCAAAATAATCGATAGCTGTAGCCTTAGCTCTAACAAGTATACCACCAATACTTAAAAATGCAGGTCAAATGGAGGCTCCAGTGTCCAAGCCTAATTCCTCATCACTGCCTTTGTTACCTGTTGAAGTTCAGGCTCTGGCTGCTGGGCTCAGGTCTGCATACACTCAGCTTTGATGTCACTCTAGGATCTTCGCTAGCGTTATGTTATTATTGTCTGTGCAGATATCTGCTGAGGACAAAGGTTGTGCTAGTAGCACAATGAATTTTTTGACACAATTTGCATGCTCTTGTTTTTTTGTACATTAACAATAAAAGCAATAAAAACTTTTCACTCAATTGGAGCTCTAAATTAGCTTTTTACACCAAGTAACAGACATTCAACATTTACATTCAACATGTTAGACAACATTGTTTAACATTTGCACTCACTCACATGAAAGCATTAGGGTTCAGTATATTGCCCAAGCTCACTTAGATATGCAGAGTAATCAGAGTAACCACTCACTCACTGATAGGCAGTGTTGGGTAAGTTACTTTAAAATAGTAACTTAGTTACATTACTAGTTACTTCTCTCAAAAGTAACTCAGTTACTTCAAGTTACTCGTTACTTTCAAAGTAACTAGTTACTAGGGAAAGTAACTTTGGTTTTACTCAGAATTCTCTTGTTAATGTGTTTCTTCCATAACATTGCCAGTCTTCTAGCTTGCTTACTTGCCACAGGTGCACTGTGCCACCTACCAATAGAAAGGAAAAGATAATGTGCATATTTCCACGAGAGAAATCCCACGCCTGGACCGTCATTGACTACTGCCATGATTCTAGCCTACGTCACAGTGTCATGTGCGCCTTTTACATCCAACACAAAAACTGCAGTCGTGGTGCTTTCGATTGTACTCAGAACTCGGAAATTCTGCCTTCTGAATAGGAAGATGTAGGTAACACCAGACTGCACATGAGCTGCATACAGGGCTGGACTGGGACAAATAAATCGTCCCGGGCATTTTGACTAGAGACCAGCCCATCATTATAGGAAAAATCATAAAGCCTTTGAATGAAAATAAACACTGTTGTGACAGTGATGTATACTGTCTTGATGGTATATATGCATCAATCTATCAATAGTTTGTTGTAAGATTCAGATAATTATTTTTTAAAAGCTAGACATTTTAAATGAGAATAAGAAAGAAAAGTATGTCTTTGTGCCCCCATTTCCCTGTTAATGCCCTACCTGGCCCCCTGGCAACACTTTGCTAGACCCGCCCCTGCACAGTTACCAGCTGTCAGCTACCTAAAAAAGGATCCTGGTGTTATTTGTCTCTCAGAAACAGTTCATAACTTCCCTTCAACTCATTCATGTCACCTAAAAGGTAAACCTGTTTCTCCATCACCTGTTCAGCTCTGATGATCCAGTAAGGACATCTCCTGGTTTCATCTTCACGTTTCCCTCTCACCAGATAACCAAACCATATCATGACCAGCAGCTTTACAGCTGTGGCTCCATCAAACATCAGCTGATAGTAGAAATTAATATTAAATAAATTCTAACAACAGCTGATCGAGCTTAAACGTGCTGCTGTTGTTTAGCGCGACATCCGCTGGTTTCCTCTTTCGGCGCAAAGTGGGAGATAAACAAACAAGAGAGCCGATCAGCTGATCACTGATCAGTTTTCATGATTTAAGTACAAACGGGAGAGGGAGGGGGAGAATGAGAGAAGAAGAGGCAGCTGTGCAGCATAAAGACAGAATAAATCCAGCTTTGTGTCTTTTTCATTGTAGCTGAATTACGGGACAAACTGTTCCTTTTCACCTCATTAAGAAACGCGTAATATTTTCTCTGAATACCAGACGGGACGGTTGGCAACTCTAATAACTTATGAACAAAATAAAGTTCAACATCATTAACTTCATAGCACCCACCCAGCTGTATAGAAACTCCGTCATGCTAGCTAGCACGCAGTACGGAAAAAGTCAGAATAACAAAAATAAACTCCACCTAAACTTGGTTCATATCTGACCCAGAGAGACTGCAGGTCATAACTTCTTACCTGAAGTTCAGTTCA